GGGGGGGGGTCTTCGACCTGAAAAATCAGGGGTTAGGATTTGCACCCGGTCGAAAGAAACCTTGCTATCGCAAGAGTAACTCCAGCTAGCTTCGCTAGCTTTCGTGATTTCTCAGGAAAGGGGATGAACTATGGGGAAAAGTTGAAAAAGATCACCTAATCCGCAAAACCAGGTAACTGCCAAGGTGCATATCGCAAGATCTTGGCAGGGGCATACTGTCCAGTCTGTAGCATCATTAAGTGGCGCTTGTTCGCCGGACTCACTTTCCTGCACATTCGCCGAGCAAAAACCATCTCTAACGCAGAAGACCCAAGACTTTGGCGTTCGAGTTGGCAAGGGTCTTCGTGCTTTTGGACACTGTCTTGCCAAACTTCACCCTTGAAAACAACTCCAAAAGACTGAAAGCAATCCAGGTGTCTGCCAACGAAACCAGTACTGATGCATGTTGCCTGGAGCAGCGCCCAGGCAACGGTTTCGCATGCGACGATGTCGACCGGTGATGATGTCGGTGTGGGACAGTGCCAGCCAAATTGCGGCCGGAACATGGGGGTTTTGTTGGATACCGGTGGATACCTGCAGGAAGATGTTTTATTCCTTAGGGTTGCTTCATAGCAACAAGTATTCCAGGAGGTTCAAACGTCCTGGAATTTGTTTATGTAACAATTAGTCCAGGCTACTTCAACGTTTAACAAACAAGTATTCTAGGTATGCCTAACCTCTTTTTAAAAAAAGACTACCCTTTAAAACAGGACCACCACCACCACCAACACCAAAAACATCCTGGAAGCCAGGACCTGCAACATCTTTCAGCAGCCGTCGAAGAATGTCGAAGACATCAATTCTGATGTTTCCTTGATTAAACATTCCAGGGTATATTGACATTTCCTTACTTTAATACTCCAGGGCTATATGTTATTCCAAGGTTATCCGAACCTACTTGGTGATGATCACCAATTTTTCATCATGTTCAAGATCTCGCAAAATAAATACTCCAGAGCAGCTGAACGGGGGTATCGCATACCTGCAGGCAAAAATATATTCTGAAAAAATATGTTAAATTAATTAAAGTTAAATATTCCAACAGGTATGCATTTTGTATACCCCATAATATTTAACTAAGGCCCCCCCCATAAAGGAACCGTCTCACGACTACTGCGCTGGGGCGCCGTCTTGGTCGAACCGTCTCGGTGCCCGAAAAAATGGGCGCGGGGTCGGATGCGGGCGGGAGAAAAAAAAAAAGGATGCAGCGGGAACTGCTTCGAGAAACCTTTCAGCTTGGCATAACTCTCGACAAAGTTGGTACCGGAGAGTTGGTATCTGAAGCCATCAGCAAGAGCATCGCTGAAGAACTGCGAGTACCTGTGGCGCTTGTGGCGCGGTGGCGCTAGCAAGCGGTGCCTGTGCGGTGCCTTGAAGGCTGCAGCTGTTGCGCAAGCTGTTGCGCCAGTAATTACCACGTTTGCTTGGAAGCCGTGCGTGTTCATGTTATTTGTATATGTAAAAAGAGGCCGATGCTTTTCCTCACCTTCGACCAAGCCCCACACATGCCCACACGCCACACCACGCCGTCCGAGCAGCTGCTCTGGCGTGCGGTACTTCGTGGGGTTGAAGCGCCTGGCCGCATTGCCTGGCTGGGTTTCCCCTGGTCCCACCCGGTTCATGGCGCTGCGGGCAGGGATCCGGGCACCAACCCCAATCAAGTTTGGGTCCACCAAACTCATCTGAAAGGCATGCCCCCTTCAAGCTCGGTCGCACCTGAGGCATGAAAGCAAGACTCTCGGAAGAAGAGGTGGCCACCTGAGACTGTGCAACTGGCTTCCACTCGGATCCCAAGGGCTTGGTCGCTGAAAACGACAGAGGTCGAACTGGCTCAATCCGAATGTCTAAGCAGTGAAGCTACTGCATAGAGCTGAAACCGGGCGCTCAAACCCACTACTTCCGGCTGGAACGGGACGGGAAGATCGGTCGTGGAGCAAGGTAATTATGAATAGGTAGCCTCAAAAGAACCTACACTTACACCTTACCCTGGCGACACAAAACAAGCTCTGTGGTGGTTGATCATCGGAGCTTTCCTCCAGGATCGCTAAGCTTGTTTCCGCCCCTGAAAGCGCACCTGGGCGCAACCAGCCCAAGAGCTTGGCGGCCAGTTCGCGGCATTCCTGGCAAGATGGGTCAGGGGGTCCACGCATTGATTGAAATCAGATGGGAATTGTTCAAGAGTCTGAGGTTTTTCAAGCACAACTCCTCGTTCTAGGAACTTGGGGCCCACTTCCGGAACTGGTCGCTCCATTGAAAGCGCAGCTTAGCTACGAACGTGAATAAGCGCGGGGGAGTACTGGCGGCGTCGGAAGCGTTGAAGCGAACGGGGAGACGTTCCGAGTCACTGACAGAAACTGACCTCCAGTCGATTTGTCAAGAAATGGGTTCGTGCATGTATATATACCAGGACCTTCTCAGTGACCTCTTCAGGATTGGTAAATGACCTTTTCAAGACCTAAGTCCTAAGTGACCTCATTCTGGGATCTCAAAAGGTCACTGGGAAGGTCCTGGTATATTATATATACTATAGTTCTCTCTCTCTCTCTCTCCCTCTCTCCATCACCCTCTCCAAGAGTTAGCCATCTGGCAACGGCGAGCCTAATTAAGGCACTTGTTTTCTATAAGGGACACCCAGCAGTGACGGTGGCCCCCTTTTCGATCGCACCGTGTTGGTTCTTCCGCGCGGCCTGGGGCAGCTAAGCACAGTGTGTGGACTTCATACCATTTCATATCCAAGTCTTAAAAAGTTGTTACAGTCAATTGCAGCCATTGAAACCCCCCAGGCCAGCTTTGGTAGCAATTGAGCCCTTCCTCAAGCAGTTCTGCTGAAAATCATCGCGACGCTGCTTGGATACAGCCACGTGTTGGCCATTCCAAGCATCGCGACAAGGATTCCGCATCGCGACGCCTTCATTCCAAGCTGTTTTTTGGCTCAGCAACCATCGAAACAACATCAGTAACTTGCCGTGACCACCTGATTCTGAAAACGCAAGCTGTTCTGATATGTCTATGGTTTCAAATGTCGAAACAAACATCTGGACAATGGGATTGCATGCCGGTGGACATTGACCATTTCACCTCGGAGTTGCTACACGCTGTGGCATCGAACCCTGCGGCTTCAAGAGATAGTCCTCAACACGAACAGATTGGTCACTAAACCAGCGGGTGTGCAAACATGTTGTCGACTATTATGATACTATCGCGTTGATTCGACTGTCACGTACCAGGCTGAAACACTTGGTAACTCATGTAACACCAAACGTGACATACAGTTGGTAACCCTATCCTTTACACCCCTCCCCTCTGTCTCTGCTTGGTCCTGGCATTCAACAGCTTGAAATCGTTAACATGTTGTTGCCCCTGTCAACGGACAAGGCAAGAAAGACCGTCAGATTATTGAAATGCAAGCTTCTGACCAAAAGTTCAAAACAGGCCGGCTCTGCATGGTCGTGGCAGACGAATTTCAAGACAAGGCAAGAAAGAACGCCAGATTCTTGAAATGCAAGCTGGGAGGCGCAAAGAAGCTCCAGTGAAAGGAACCCAACATGCGCAAACGCAACCGGTGTGGTCGATATGTTTGAGAATTCCTCAACCCAGTAAAGATATCATTGAGGCCAAAAAGAAGTGAGTGCTTCATCATAAGAAGCCTGGCAGTTTGCAGCTAGAAAATCAATGAAACCCACGCCCGTTTTAGACGGTCCAAACTCCAAACAAAAAGCCATTGAAGTTTACTGGGTAACTATATTGTAGTTTGCTGTTCCCTCAGCTGTGATGTGTTTGTCGCTCCCCAGGCTTAAATACAGGCAGCTACAGCAAGTCTGCACATACCACGCGGGTCTGCGCAAGAGCTCCACCGCTGCTCCATCACTTCGTAGCTCAGGATCGGAACGTTCAAACCAGGTCTGTCAGCTTGAGATCATTTATGTAGTGCTGTATTGCTGTATTGCCGCATTGCCCGGGTCTGGGACAAGGTGCAAACCAGGTAGTGAAGTCGAGCGATGTATGTATATATGAACCTCTGGACACTGTCCCGTCTAGAATGTCAGGCACTCAAACTCTACTCTACCACAAATTTGCTGAAAGCTGTGACGGTGCATTTTGCACCCCCAGGCCCCAGGCTTGGATACAGCAACAAGATTCAACAGGCAGTTGTTCTCGAGGCCATGACCACCAAAGGATTCTTCATGCAAGCTGTTTTGATCTGTTTATGTGGTGATTTATCGAAACAATAATCCGGACAATGGGACTGCATGCCGGTGGGACATTGACCATTTCACCTCGGAGTTGCTACACGCTGTGGCATCGAACCCCGCGGCTTCAAGAGATAGTCCTCAACACGAACAGATTGGTCACTAAACCAGCGGGTGTGCAAACATTTTGTCAACTATTATGATACTATCGCGTTGACTCGACTGTCACGTACCAGGCTGAAACACTTGGTAACTCATGCAACACCAACAGTGACATGCATTTGATACTCCTATCCTTCACACCCTCCGCCTCTGTATGGTCCTGGCAAACGGAATTCAACAGATTGAAATCGCTAAAATGGCGCCGCCCACGGACAAGGCAGCAAAGACCGTCAGATTATTGAAGTGCAAGTTTCTGACTAAAAAAGTTCAACTGAAAAAGTTTTGCACACAATTCGTGTAGATCACCGCTCAGCTCGACGTTTGCCAGGCCGGCTGTGACACGAAATTCAACACAAGGCAAGAAGGAACGCCTGATGGTTTAAAATGTAGTCTGGGAGGCGCAAAGAAGCTCCAGTGAGAGGAACCCAACATGTGCAAACGCAACCGGTGTGGTCGATATGCTTGAGCATTCCTCAACCCAGTACAGATATCATTGAAACCAAAAAATGAGTGTTTCATCATAAGAAACCTGGCAGTTCGCAGCTAGAAAGTCAATGAAACCCACGCCCGTTTTAGCCCACGGTCCAAACTCCAAACAAAAAACCATTGAAGTTTACTGGGTAACTATATTGTAGTTTGCTGTTCCCTCAGCTGTGATGTGTTTGTCGCTCCCCAGGCTTAAATACAGGCAGCTACAGCAAGTCTGCACATACCACGCGGGTCTGCGCAAGAGCTCCACCGCTGCTCCATCACTTCGTAGCTCAGGATCGGAACATTCAAACCAGAAACCAGGTCTGTCAGCTTGAGATCATTTATGTAGTGCTGTATTGCTGTATTGCCGCATTGCCCGGGTCTGGGACAAGGTGCAAACCAGGTAGTGAAGTCGAGCGATCTATTTATATATATACCTCTGGATACTGTCCCGTCTAGGATGTCAGGCACTCAAACTCTACTGTACCACAAATTTGTTGAAAGCTGTGGCGGTGCATTTTGCACCCCCAGGCCCCAGGCTTGGATACAGCAACAAGATTCAACAAACAGTTGTTCTCGGGGCCGTGACCACCAAAGGATTCTTCATGCAAGCTGCATTGATCTGTTGTTGCGGTGATTTATCGAAACTGCGTGCCGGTGTTTCTAGAAGTAACGATCGATCACCTCTCGGCCACATAATCGATCTGCGCGCAATCTTCTTTTTCTCTATGCGGGCGCTTGAGCCAAAGAGTGCGTCGGCAATGCGCATTTTTCTGTACACATGCTTAGCTGAATGCTACTCTGTACTCTCATTGCACTGCTTTTGACACCCCATTGGATGGTCATTGACCTTCCATGCACGATTGAAAATGCAAGGGTGGTGCTTGAGGAGAATATACATTTTGCCGCGAGACCCGAAGTCAACTACACAGTCTTAGTCATACTAAGCGGACTTTACATATATATACATATAAATACATGGCTCTGAGCTCTAAGCAAGAAAATTAAGCCTGGCAGAAGGAGGTCCAGCAGACCTCCGGCAGCTGTTTTTCTTGCTTGAGGCTTTGAGGCAGTTCATGCATTCCACCTGCATGTAGGCCACAGGTCATCCTTGGAATGGGTGCCCCTTGCCACCACATTGCACAGATATGGCTTGCAAGAGGCACTTCGCAGAGCCCCCCCTCAGAATGTACATCTGTGCTTGTAATGAATGTTGGCAAGGAAATTTTCCTTCAGGTCACGCTTGATTTCAAGTCAAGAAGGGCACCATTGTTGTCCGAAAAGACCGTCCGCATACTGATGAATGGCAATTGCATTGGCCAAGAATTGTGGACTACAGTGCTACAGAGCAGAGGCATGATGTGGCTGCAGAGCAGGTGGGCAAGATGGAGGTATGCAATTGGATGAAAGTCCTTTGGCCTTCTTGGCATTGAGGAAGGGTCAGCTGACCAGGCCTTGAGAGATGTCATGCCCCAGAAGGCCAGCAAGCACATGAAGCATTGCTGCCACCTCCACCATCTGACTCTGAGAGTTCAGAGCATGCAGCATCCTCTAGCAAGAGGCAGAAGAAAGATGCTGAAGCATCCAAAGGGAAAAACAAAGAGAGCTCGTCACTGTGAGCGTGCACTTTTTTAAGCATTTCAAGCTGCCAAATCTTGCTGTCTAAAGTTTTCAGCTCATACCAAAGCCAAAACTTCTCATGTGGACTTCCAACAAACAACAATATTTCAATAGAGATTCTATAGCAATCTTACTGATATGCACTAGTGTGTTTAATTAATAGCAACCCACCAAATAGAAGGATTTACATAGCAAAAATATTTATATTCTACAGAACTTGTCCCATGAGATTAGATCTACAGATGGTCCCTCAGCTTTCTTCACTTCTTGTACTTCATGGACTTACTCTTCATGGACTTGCCCTTCATGACCATCTTGTTGCCAGACGAGGGTTTGCCAATTGCATTCTTCGTGTTGGACTTCTTGAAACATAGGTATGAGACAGACTTCGCATTCTTGAAGAGGTTTGGCAGGCGAGTTGGATGCAAATACCGAATGTTGCCACCCTCAATGGACTCGTTGTGACGCTTGGACAGAAGCAACAAGAAGAATTTGTGCCGGTGGGCTCGCATCTCATTGATGATAGGGGAAAAAGTTGCGGAACCACGAGAAGACCTGTTCGCAGATCGAAGTGTTCTCTTTGTGAATGCGCTTCTCCAGCTTCTTGCGGTAGCCTAGGTAGGCTTGATTTAAAGTAAATACGAAACTATACAAAACGACACATTCATAAGGACTAA